AAAACACAAGGTACGCAATTAAAATCAGCTTCACCACCTAGGTTGTAGAACTTTTCACACTGCATCTTATGGTATATTTTGGTTTTTGATATAACTTATTAGACGACGAGAAAATAAAATATACAACGCAACCATCTATTCTGGCCTTCCTGTTATTTCGAAAAACCCCTACGATTTTTAAGCTACTTGTATCTCTGCAACTGTAAGAGGTAGAAAGCTGAAATTTTAATGTAGAGTAGATCTGGATGTCTAGTATATATGCTGCACATATCAGCCTATTCTACTGAAAAAAATATAAGAAAAGAATCTTTCTTGAAGGGGATCAGAACTAATGACACACCCTTTATTAAAGGTTCTCTTGAAAAATTGCAGTAGATTCGATTAGTGTAGATTATGCTCTTTGGCTTATTATGCATAAAGAAAAGCAATGTATTTTTCTCGAAAAGAAGAAAATAGCGCTATATTATTTAGTTAAATCAAAAATCTACTTGTATTAGAGTCGAACATTGAATAATTTAGTGCCAAAATGATGCATTCACCATGTTCTTAAAATCTCAGTGAATTTTGAAATGGCTAACGAATTGTCTGATTAGATCTCATGAATATGCTTACTAGAATTTATGAAAAATTGTAACTTGAAATAGCTTTGACAGTCGTTCATTTCAAAATCAAAGTCTGGAAGAAAACTAATTAGTGGATGCAACGTACATCAATAGTATTTGATCAGTAGCTCTTTGAAAAGAGTCTCCAAATTAGAGAGCTGCACCGAGTTTTCTGGACCCGACCAAAGAATCATGAACCACTCTATCATATCGAATATTGAACCATTATTTGAATATGCATTTTGTAGAGAAATGTTTGCTCTTTCAATCTATGTAATTAGAAGTATACAACAGCCTTTCATAACCAATATCTTTTTAAATAAATAGGTCCGGATCCACACCCGTGTCTGGACCCAGTCCAAGTTTGGACTCGGACATATTTATTTAAAAAAATATTGATTATGCAAGACTGTTGTATACTTCTAATTACATAGATTGAAAGAGCAAACATTTCTCTACAAAATACATATCCAAATAATGATTCAATATTCGATATGATAGAATGGCTCATGATTCTTTGGTCGGATGCAGTAAATCCAGTGCAGCTCTCTATTCCAAATGTAAAAATTTTATAACTAGAATGATCAATGAGAAAAGCTTTACAAACTCTGAAAGTTTCACTGAATGTGGATGTGCTCACCGGATGAAACTGACAAGATCCCATGGATACACCCATTGATTATTATTTTATTACACTTATAAACTATTGCTCGATATTACTTATTATTCTAAAAAACATTAATAAAATATCAAAGTAATAAAATACTAAGAAACAATAAAAGTTCAAATAGTGTTAAGATAATAGAAAAAAAAGAGAAATAATCATACCGCAATCATCCCCTAATAGATTGAAATTTGAATATAAGTTACCTGACAAGATCCTTCCAGTAAAGATAAAAATCATGATTAAGATTACAGTTACTTTCATCTAGTTAATATTAATCGATATTACAAACTTATATCATTTTTAATCCTCTGCAAATAAGTATGTCGATTTTGTAAAGATCAAAGAATAAAAATGTTTTTACCTTTTCAAATCCAATAATTACTTGATATTTTAATATATTTCTCAATAAAACAATTTTAAGACACAATACTTATATATGTTCAAAATGCACATCTAAATCGAAATCTTTTGTCTCGTATGATGTTCTAACAGTATCAATGAGAACGGCGACAGGGCAAAGATAATTCAAGAAAAGCTTCGAAAACCAACGTATCATTTAGAATTATTTAACAACAAACAAGATTGTATTATATACACTGAAAACATTAAAACAGAAGAAGTGGTTATTGTTCCGAATAAAATAAGCACAAATGCGAAATCCATTTAGAATTTTTGAAATGTGTCATTATGGGAGGGTGGGTGTGGCTTTGCGTATTGTTTTCCTCTACAATCGCACCTCTCAATCACATCCACACTCACATCTATATCCGCACTCCACACTCATAACCATACCCATACTCACACCCACACGCACACACCCCACACCCTACGGTTTCGGCTTACTCATTCTTCCAGTGATATATTATAAGGCTGTTGGTGTGGATGTGGAATTGGATGGCAGGGTACAGAAAACGGTAGTCTACAATCTCAAGGCCCGATGGAAGATAATCAGAAACATCGTTTGATGATATCTTTGAAGGCATGGGTACAACTTTAATCATATACATGATGACTAGTAGCCATGAGGCTACAAGAAGGAATTTCATGATAAAATATGGCATGGTAAGAGTGAGAAAAGAAAAGCAAATATCAACTTTTTATAAGCTGCTAACTATTTTCATTAGATATGCACCTTTGTAAGATGCATTGTCATTGCATTGTATGACATATTCTTTTATCAAACTTTGATAAGAAACACTACAATAGCAAAAACAGAAATCTTAATTTTCTTCTAATGTTAAAAAAAAGTCACATGAAATACATGCAAAGCTCATTTTTGTACAAGGATTGATTTAATAGATATCAGCCTGGATAAAGAAAACTATGTAATTCATGAAAGACTTGGAAACAATGTGACATGTCTCCCATTCAAATTTTCACTGACAATCAATTTCGCTTAAACAATTAGGCTTTGTTCAAGTCTGTTGAAAACCATAGCGAATGACAACAGGATTCAGACAATGTGACAACAAAATAGGGCTTCTTTGCATATTGACGGTGAAGTACATCACTTTTTAGAAAACCTTTTGCCTAATACGTGAGTTCAAAACGGTAGTTCGTATTCGATGAACTCGATGTTCATGAGATTAAGATGTGAGTATGGATGTGGTTGGATGTCAGTCTTCTCTTCACACCCGCCCACCCACATCCATACCCTATAAACTCACCATTTGGTGAGATGTTAATATCTCATCGTCGATAAAATCAACTTGAACGATGAATCTAGTTAACCCTTTCATGACGACTTGATTCTGCGATGTTTTCAAAAATGTTTTTCTAGTGATTACAGCTCAGACGCAAGGAGAAATGAAAGTGAATTTTATATGAAACAAGAGCCCGTCGAAAACGTGATCTAGGAGTATAACCAATAATTCATAGGATGATAACGGGCTGCAGAATCATGAAAAGTTTCACAATTTCAGGAGTATAATTGGGTATCTTCACGAATGGTCACCAATAAAAACTAAATATTCTCACAAAATTTGTTTTGTCTATCAGGCTATGTGGAGCTATCTGTGCTGATCACTTTGTTAAAAAAAAATTTTAATTTCACAAATAAACGATGGTGCTAGGACAAAAACACGGCAAAAAGTTATAGCTCCAACAACAGATCTATTGGAGATTTTTCAGTAGTTTGGGTGTGGGGTGGGTGTAACCATATGATAGATCAACATTCACACCCACATCATCCTTATTCTATTGTTCTCTCATATATATTCTCTGCTTTGCCTCATCTCGTTTCCTTTCATCCTCTCTTCTACTTGCGAATATAAGCGTATTCTGTTTATGTAAATGATACGATTACATGATATGAAGGAGTTGAATAAGATGTATCTCCATCCACACTAACATTCCTTCTATCAGCAATCGTTACCGTCCATTTCTTTGTTCTAAACTGACGGTGAAATAAAATATACTATATACTTTGATAGACGACACATTCAAGTCGTCATTGTATAAAATTTCATTTAGACTTTAATGGGGGGATCGACTGGCGAGAACAAGATAAATTGCAATTCTATTAAAAACATCCGAAGATTATCTTAAAAGCAGAAATATCAATTCGAACTTTCCTAATTTTTTTTCAATGGGTATGAATGGGCGTGTGGGCATATTGCAGCTGCTCTTTTCACTCACACCTACATCTACCCTTTTCAATCCTCAAAGACATGCATATTGTGTGAGACCTTGTGAAATCTATTATTCTGTTCTCTCGTCACTTGCGACGAGAGAGAATGAAAACAGATTCTTTGAGTTCTGTCTTGACAACTTACAACGGAGATAGTGTGAAGAGTATGACGAGATGTGAGTAAATAGCAATGCACACACATGTTATTTTACATACATAAGTAAGCGAGTGCACCCTATTTTCTCCATCCATATTAAGGCCTTCTTACTCAAAAGCTTGTTTTTTGTTTGATCATCCGATCCTGATAAAATTTATAAAGAAGATGTGCCTAACAGTGGACATCTTCTAGTAAAAATTTCAACTCGAAATATTCAGTCTACTAAGAATTAGGTTGTGACTAAGGATCAAAATATAGGTGTCCGTGCGTCTCAAATTTCTTCCTCATTTTTAAAGCTATAAATCTCGGATTGGTTTTTGAAATGTAGTCAAGACTTGGCGCTACAACTTAACAGATCTCGATTTTCTATGTTTTTCCAACTTCATTTTTTGAGACGCTTTTCTGATGAAATATGGCGAAAAAATAGATAGTGTACTTTGAGACAAATCGATTGTTGCTGAAAATTCAAGGAAACATAAATAACTTCGGATCTATTAAGTTATAGAGCTTTCTCTTTTGTTCATTTTGAGACCAACTCCAATTTTCTAGCGTTTAAAATAGCGGAGCAATCTAGTACGAACAGAAAAGTCAAAATGAAAAACTCTATTGTGAGAAAAACACAAAATAAGTTGCGTGATGCAGATATAGGTCTCACCATGAAAAGCAGATCCGCATGCACTCACACTCGATAGTTTTAAGTTTGTTCTTGTACAGTCAGCACATTATCTATGTGCTAGCCAAATTGCCGTAACTATATCAGCAAATCTGTATTATAACCAAGTGTGATAATTATTTTCTTTTCAGCCATATAGCTGCTAATTCGTGAATCGCAAAGACAATAGAAGCAAGAGGACAATCAAACAAACATTCAACTATTTGTCGAACACTTATCTTGATAAATAAGTCTACAGTTTGACCTTTTACACAACAAATCGTGTTCAAAAAATGCGTTCGTCGATTTTTATTTTACACATATTATCTGGTACAATATTCTGGCACGTTGCAATTGATGCGCGATCGGTTTTAGCTAGTCATAGCCATCCATCTGATGTTAAACATTTTGAACCAGAATTAGATACGAATATTGGTTATTGGTCACCCAGCACCAGTTCAATCGATTGGTGTGAACGTAATTATGTTGTAACCCAGTATATTACTGAATTTTGGAATTGTCTTTCAAGCTTTTCTATGTGTATATTAGGTGGAATATTATTCATTCGAGGTATATACAACAAGGTTGAAACTCGATATTTATTGTCTAGTTTGGGCTTTGTATTTGTCGGACTCGGATCTGCCTATTTTCATGGTACTCTCACACATTTAGGTCAAATGGCAGATGAACTCCCAATGGTCTATTCAATGATTATCTGGTGGTTTATATTATTTAGAATGAATGAGTTCAATCAGTTAAAGAATAAAACATTTGCCATTGACATATTAGTTGTATTTGGGATTTTTTATGGGTTATTATGGACTTACGTGCACAGTTTACAAAAATTTGTACTGATATTTCAAGTACATATTAGCATGATGGTGCTCGGAGGTATGGTTAAACTGATTTATTTATATCAACAGCCACATCATCATATATATCGGATAAAGTGTCTGCTGATAGTATATGTTGGCTTAATAATTTCAGCTTTTGTTTGTTGGACTATGGATCAACAATTGTGTGAACGAATGAATACTATCAATAGATTTAATCCACAATTGCATGCTTGGTGGCATGTACTTGGTGCTGTTCACTGTCATCTGGGAATTGTGTGTGGTGAAGCTATGCGTCTTCTATCAATCAAATATCAGCAACATCAATTAAAAAATCCTCAATCTTCTAAGCAGCCATTCAAACCGGAACATCACATACACATCATCTTTCATTTAGGATTACCTTACGTAGATTATTCCAACGAAAAACAAACGAATGAAGCAAAAGCCCAGTAAAATGCACGTGCATTTTCGTTTATAAAACTATCATAATAGACTCTCGATTTTGTTTTGAACAACTCGAAAACGGAGGAAGCTTGGATTTTTTGTAATTTAAAATCAAGACTCTGAAATATCTTCTCCTAAGAAAAATAAATTGAAGAATCATTTTTCAATGAAAGTCTTTGGGAATCTCAGATGAGTGTTGGTATGATTGTCGGTGTGAGATGTGGGTGTAAGTGAGTCGTTCAATTAAACCCACACCCACGCCCTTCACAGAACTGTCGTTATATCATGGAAATATATATTTCTTTATAATAAAGATATTTTTTCTAATAAAGACAGAATTTGATTTCAGTCAATAATCTATAATAATAAACGCTAAGTTTTTAATGCTTACTTTTTGAATAGTTTATTTCAAGGTAATTTATTAGGAGGAAATGAAACATTGGAAATTTAACGATTGCTTAATTGATAACTAATTCTAGAAATAGTCGAAAGAAAAAATTGTTCTGTTCTTATGCATACACTTTCGGTTAAAAATAAGCTCTTTGTTGTAATTTGTGGGTGTCAGATGTCGGTGAAGGTGTGAGCTTGAGGGTGTGGATGTGGATATGGGTGTGTGGGTGAGTGTGTGGGTGTGGATGTGGATGCGGGCATGGGTGTGAGTTTGGTGTCGATAAAGAGACGATCTTAACGCACACCCATACTCAAATTCGATTGAGCGGCGTGCAACATCTAATTGATGCATTAATGATGAATAAAGTAGTGATTTTTTGTGCACTTATTTCTCTAAAAAAATAGTATCGCTCTTTTTCACAATAGAAATATAAGGTTATTTACAGCAGCTTTAGTTAATTAGAGTGTGGGTCGATGTGGGTGTGGGCGTAGTTCTTCACTCATCCTCATACATACAACCCACTCCCACATCCACTCTCACACCCACACCCTACTATACGGTATTAAAGTGTCACTCTCACTACTTTTGTTATGCCCTAAGTAGATTAATTATTTGTCAATAAATGAATTATATTCGAATCTCTCTCTTTGGAATAAGATCATGGATCAAATTGAAGATCTTCTTTGAAGATTGTTTTATTAGAAAATTTTGTCCTTTAGTTTATGGTATCGAGTTTGCTGAATAATACCGAAAACAATCAACAGTTTTATATATGTGATATGGACTTTCGCTGTCTTTCATTTTCTTGCAAGGAACGTACAACTCTTTTAATCGTATCTGCAGTAGGTATTAAAGAAATGGTATGAATAATGAGTCATCACTATTAGACATGCACAATATACTACACATGTGAATATGTTTAGTGAATTTTATTTTATTAATAATAATAGTAGAACTCGAAAAGCTATCGAATGATTTGAGACTCTGATCCCTCTTTTATAAAGATGAAGAGATGTGATGTTTAGTTCAAACGTCATGACAATAGAATGTGTCTTCTGTTATTCTTGAAGTTTTTTTTCGAAACAGAACTTATCTGCTTCGAAAAAATATTTATTGTATCAGAGTGTTTCTACTACATCGTGGACTAATGTGTGAAAATCTATTAGTCGCGCAATGCTTTTCTTTAAGTCAATGATTCACTAATAGAATCAAATCACAGATTATGGAATAAATTTGTTTCGAATGTTATGGAATTAAATTACCAGAATCTTAGTTTAGTCTTATTTGTGAAGGAGAGATCTTTCTACAACTGATAAACGATAGAACAAAGTAGAAGACTTTGGAATGTGTCGACGATTTTCATTGGTAGTAACAAAGAATCAACAAGAAAAATATTTTATTAGTATTTTATTTAGGAAAGACTAATATTGAGTCCACATGTATTACAACAAGGTGGTTTCCCACAGCACATGAGGCACATTGGAGGCCGGGTAGAATTGTTGATTAAATTGGGAACAGTTGATCTGTTTACGATCGGTTCGATATTCAGATCAATGTTGGTTAGATTGATCTTAAAATCACAATGAGGTAAACCACAACAGTTGCAACATGGACGTCTGCCACAACAAGTCAGGCAACGTTTACCACGACTAAGCTGATTGGAATGAACATAATTAGTGATGAATATCAAGAGAAAAGCAGCAAAAAGATAACAACGCATATTGAATAAAACACTAAAAATGTGCAAATGGTCGAGCGTTTGTATCGATTTTTATCATCATGATAATGCTAAAGACATCTGTGTCAATTCGCATACGCTAGCATTTCTACTAGTGGGCCTAACTAAAGAGATACGCTGTATCACCTGTTCTCTCATGAAAATTTTGAAATTATTATCAATATAAGTGCGCACTATTTCTATAAGGATTCATCTAACATATTTTTCGGTTAGATCACTATCTATGTAATAATAATAATCAGGTGTATTACTGTGAAAATATAAATTCCCACAATATGTCCTTTTTTTATGTACGAAGACGAAAAAACAATATATATATAAGAAAAACTTAAATAAATTTTTTCGTTTTCTTTTTAGCAATTTGTTCATCACATGCTTTTTCTAATGGCAGTCGTTCTTTAAACAAATACAAATGGCAAAATCTATCATAAATCAAATATAAAAGATTACTGGAGGAGCTGAAACATGTGTCTTATGAGATGATAGGGCATATATTCTTAAAAATAAAAACATAATTAAGCGTGTTTTACTGCCATGATATTCCAGCATTTACATAGATTTAAAAAACAAAAGATTTTCTTTTTTCCTTTTTTTTATTAAATTTAAAATTAAAAGTCAACGTATGCTCAATTAAGATTCGTATAAATGAGTAGATATAGGCATGAGCCTTCTCATGTTTTTTTTAGATTAAGTTACCGTCAGTTTCATAACAAGAGTTCTCAGTATTCGATTTACAACTATTTGATGAGCACTTGCCAGTTCTATTTTTAAACATACATTGCGCATGCTCATTTCGATCTCTCGTAATTCACGAAAATCTATGTGTATATATCGCGAAATAATTAACCTATAGTTATAACTTCTTTAGCAAGTTCATTCATCAAAAATAAATAATAAATATCAATTTCAAAACTTTTTAAACGTAACGAGAAAAAATATGGCTATGTGGATGAAGGTTTGGAAGCAGTGGAAATCCAAACCCACATTTACAACGTTCTCCAATAAGAAGAAAATAAATCGATCAATCATATTATTTTAATTTATGAAGAAAAAATAAGTAATCTTGAAAATGATTAGTGATACAATCGAAATAACGAAATGAATGGAAATGAAGAAATACGACATTGGCCATTACCATTTGTAAAACAATCAATACAACAGTAAATATAAGGATGCGCATCATCGATAATGTATCTTTCTTGAATGTCATCAGTTTTTAACCAATAATTGAGGTTGGCATAATTGTCTATTGTTGTAATATCGAAAGTAAATGTAGTCATTCATGACATATAGATAGGTATATCGTCATAGAAATGAGCACCATCAATAAATTCTGATCGATTTTCAACGTTGAGATATAAACCGAGTTATTTTATATTCGGCATTTGTTGAAGTAGTGACACTATCAAATTATTATACTTTTCTGTTGGCGAATATGAAGCCAAGAAAAACTGTTGTTAAATTAGACAGATTATCCTAGAAAAAAAAACGAAGAAACACATAAAATAACACAGTTGAAAAGGAAAAAGATCTCTACCTGATTATCAATGTTCAATGATGGAGCTTTAATAGAATCAGCAATAACAATAAAAGTTTTCATTTGGTTGAAACGATCGTCAAGTAGACGCAAACAATCGTCTATCATACATACATTAACATTTAATTCGACTATAATCGATGATGAACACATGGTCAATAATAAAGCATATATTCTTGTATCCATGGATTCAAACGAAAATATCTTGCGTTAATATTCAAATGAGTTAAATGTTGACAGACAGCAAAAAGACGTGTATATCTATTTGTATTTAAGTCCACTTGTGATTCTGTATTCTAATATTCAATAGTAAAAACTTCAAGATGTGTAGTCTCTTTGAAGATATGTACGATTGGTGAATCGTCTAGACACAAAAATTAAAGAATGATTTACAAAGATTAAATTGTTTGTATCTCAGTATCAACAAATCTTTTCATATCCGCTAAATATTTTATAAAAACTTCAGGTTTGATCGAATTTAATATTAATTTATGAAGTTTAGGATAATCACAAGCGAGAACAATACGTTCAATTGACGATGGTTCGACAAGAAGAAATTGAAGATTATGATGAATTTGAGGTAATATACATAAACAAAATCGATCAAGCACAACATTAGGCATGGAACATCGTTCATCAAAGGGTGTGGGTGTGAGTATTGCTATGCACTAGATCAAGACCCACACTCACCCACACCCTAGCTACACCCACATTCGCACACCCACACCCCACCCACACACCTACGCCACACCCACACTCACTCATCCACACCCACAATGAAAGCTTATTGATGATAAAAGAAAAACAACAAAATTATTCCATACCACATCGGCGAAAGTTTTTTTTCTTTCACTCATTCAGAACCGTGCATTTTTTCTCTATTTCATAATTATTCATAGTATTCTTTTGCAAAAGGATTTGTAGTAATTCGAAGAACTCTGAACATATTTGTTAGTAATATCTATGGTGCTTCAATCTAATTGATCAAGTACAAAAATTTGTTTTCTTTTATATGCCGAATAACTTAGTAGTGTACCATTTTGAGGGACTTGTGTTTTTGGCAAAGCAATATTGAGCGTACGATGAGCTATATACTAATCGACTAGAGATGATACTGAGCTATTTTCAAGTGAGGAAAATAATGCGAATGCAATTTCTAACGAAAATTCAATCTATTTATTAGAGAGGTATCGACGAAGTGTGTACGGGTGTGAAAAAGAGACACCACACCCAAATTCTTCTTCGGAGTAAAGATAGTTAATTTTGAATTTAATTTGATCGTTTTATTGTTGTCTTAGAGTCTAATCGACATAAATCATTAATTTCTTCATTTTAACTTTTTTTATAGGAATTCCTATTCATGTATTCAATATTATCTATACATCTTATCTTTCATCGATTAGTATCGATGTTTTCATATCATACATATATAGATAGATAGATCAGCCTCTGTTCTATTAGTACGTTTATCGTATTTCCATGTGTAGTGTACCAATGCAAAGGGTTTAATCTGTTGAAAAGTGAATAAAAAATAATGAACGATACAATTTTAATTATTCTGTTTAAAAAGGTATACTTTATTTACTAGAACTAATTCATCACTGTTTGCGTTATTCATGAGTATGTGGAGTTAAGAAAAGCTAAAGCGAATTGTTACATATGTTTTAAGAACGAAAATGTGAATCAAGTATTAGAAATTGTTGACTAGCATTGTCTTTTTAGGTCACTCCGCTACCTACTATTGTAGTTATTTTCATATTGTAGAATTTTGTTAAATATACCACTTATTCATGTCGGGTACATGCTTCTTTTCTAATTGATTCAACTATTATTCAGTCATCTGCTTCTTCACTTACGATTTAACCCTGTATCTTCACATAATTATTATTTGAATGATAAAATGTCATGAGTTCTAGTACCGAAGTATTGAAAGTAATTGATGAACGTGTTAAAATGATGCCTGAGATTATGAAATCAATACGGATTGTGAGAATATATTATTGGGAATCAGTCTTCAACACAGAGGTTTGTTATATAAGAACGTAAGTCCATGATGCTATTAGTCTCGTTTACGAATGGAACGCATTCACTATGTTTTAGATTTTGATCCCGTAAGGATTACTCAGAACGTTTCTAGCTATGTTGAAACATCGATTGAGTATGCGACAGCATCTGTTTATTCATGTTAGTTATCATCGAGTCGTTATCGTTGAGTTATACGATAACATAGAATGTCACGAAGCAGTTGGTGTTCTGACAAGACAGTTATCTTTTCTTTGTGCTTTGGTTTCTTTTTCATTCGTGCTCGTATTCTCTTGGAGCATATACAAGTGTAATATCATCGTCTCAATGGACTCAAAGGGGCCGAAGTACATAAACTGTCATGGATATTTACTACCGTCTAGTTTTTTATGTGATAAATTTGATTCTGCTTTGGAATTTTATCCCAAACCGAATACGATTTTGATTTGTGCCTACCCAAAGTGTGGAACAACGTGGATGCAAAATATCGTGTATTTACTACTGCACGCTGGGGAACCGTTTCCATCTCATCTAAAGATCAAGGACGAAATACCGTTCTTGGAAGCACAAGGTAGCACGTACTGTGAAAATCATGCCGTGGTGAAAACACATTTACCACTAAATTTATTGCATTGGAATGAGCAAGCCAAGTACATCTTAGTAGCACGCAACCCAAAAGATTGCTGTGTTTCCTTCTTCCATCATACGCGTGGCTTTGTACAACACTATGATTATGCACATGGTACATTTAATGACTACTTTCGACGGTTCCTCAATGGAGAAGTTGATAGCGGTGATTATTTCAATTATTTTGAGTCATGGCAATCTCGGCTCAACGATCGAAATGTGTTCTTCTGTACGTATGAACAACTCATAGGTGATACAAAAGAAATAGTAAAACGGCTAGCTGCGTTCCTCGAAATTGAAATCGATGATAATATTTTGGAAAAAGTACTTCACCACTGTTCTTTTCAATCGATGGAAAAAGATCCTTATTGTTGGAGCAGTGAGCGACCAAAAAATATGCCAGCATTTATCAGAAGAGGCGAGATTGGTGACTGGCACAATTATTTTAATGAAGAACAATCTAAACTTATCGACATGAAAGTTGAACAATTTCCCTTGATGAAGAAACTTTGGGAAATATTCATGTAACATGCTCAGACTAGTTTCATGTGGGGTGTGGGTGTTGTCTCTTTTCACACGCACACCCACCCCCACACATCCAAACCACGCCCATACCCATATCCAAACCGATATCCACCCACACCCACACGCAACTTCTGATATTTTTGGCATAAAATAAATACAAAAAAATATGATTACTCGTTAGACACCAGCTTACATAAATTAAGAGCCAATATGCTAACTTTTGCTGTAAGTATCGATAATCGTCGTTAATGTTGATTGTGACATAGGAATCTTATCTAAAATGTAGATGTTGATGAAGTTGGGTTTTTGATGAAAAAACATTGTCTTCATCTTCAGCCTCTACATTCACTATTTTGAATTTGCATTTAACGACTTACGGATCATATACTTGAAATAAATATATCTACTTTATTTCTTCCTATCGATTTTCTTCTCTTTCCATTAGTTTGATAAAGGTAAACAACTTTAGGATTTTTCTTTTTGGATTACCTTAATGCAAAAAAAAAAAGCAATAGTAATCAAGAAAACCAGTATACTCTCTTCCATTATGAGTGTATTAATTTTTGTTTTCAAGACGACAATACAAATAATAAAAGATATTGATCACATTACTCATATGATCTATTGAACAAAAGTAGTATGAAGGAGCGTACAGTGCAAGAATTGCAGAAACATGCTTCTTTCCTCTTGCAAAATTCACACAATTTGTGTTTTCCTCAAAAAAATTATCACTGTCACACGGCGGACACTTCTAGCTTCAATAAAATATAACCAAGACTATTTTGTAAATGAAGATGGGCCCATCGAAAACGATTCAAATGACTCATAGAACCAAGCTGTAGACAGAAGAAAACAGAAAAAAATGGAATAAATAAAAGTGCATTACAGGTATACCGATAAGAGCTATTGCGCGGCCAATAAAAAAAGACTGTTTTTCTTCGTTTGATGAGAAAATAAACGTGTCATATCAATCTTATAGATCTATTACTCGTATTCATCTACTTTCTAAATAGCGGTTAATTACGTGACTTATGAAAATTTTGTTCGATTTCTTGTACTTATACAAAGCCTAGAAAATTTTTTATTTTGATAGAGTTAGATAGAGTACGAATTATTCTATCTAATCATATAGGTTTTTATATTATTTATTTTGTATTTTATCTAAAAATTCGATAATTTTCGAAAAATTGCTTAACCTTTTGAAGACGATCGGACATATGTTCGCTCATCTATTTTTCAGTAGAGAATAGAATATTTTCTTTAGATTAAACTGTTAAACTTTTAAGGCCATAAAGATCGTAGGTTATCCCATTTATTATCGCATGCATACTTTTCTGTCCTTCTTGTTATCATATAGACGTGTCTCAAATGTTTTTTCTTTTTGCTACCATACAGTGACGGTATCATTTGTCTCTTTTCTCCTTATATATTATCTTTCGAGAAGACTCTGGCTCTCTATTGCTTGTGTAGCAACAAATAATGATCTGTTAAATGAAGCGAGACTCTTTTCAATATGTTTAGCAGCCACTTCACAATATAAACCCAAAGCATTGACGAATGATGGCGCTAAAATACGAAAATCAAGAAAGAGGTAAGTTGGCTGATATCCTATAACCTCAATTCTATCTGGGTTAGAGAACCTGAAGGAGCAAACTGGATGATGAACATAATCAATTTGAATGAAAGTCTTCATATTGTATGGCTAAAGTTGAACAAGGGCAGGAGAGAGAATGATTGATAAATTGGTCTTGCTGTAAATGAATAAGTTGCTCTAATGTAGGCGATTCAATATAATAGAGATGAGTAACACGTTCGAAAACATAATATGTAACTAGCACAACAAATGATATTGCTAATAAAGGAATAAACAGTCGCGTTGCAATAAATTGTTGTCTAACTTCTCTTTCATCTGATATTGTTACAGTCTTGGCAAAATAATTCCACGTCCATAATTGTTTTAATAGAGATTTCCGAACAGGATCTGAAAGTACACAATCAGCGTAAAGTCACAATTCTCGAACTAATGCCAAATAACTATCCAAGCTTGTCATTATGTGAGAACAAATTAAGTAAGAGTGAATGAGTACCTATATATTTCAAAGATTATATATGATATCATTGAATCCTCTAATACAGTCGGATACAATATTGAAAACTTTTTTTTTGATTTGACATATGTATCTGCATTAGCTACGTGAAAGATAGCATAGATCAAAGCGCTGATTCATGTGGTTTAGTCGATAGGTGTGAGTGTGGATGCAGTTGTTGAATTGGATGTAGATAACAGTTAAACAGATCCTCACACCTACACTCAAATTATTCGTCAAACGACTACACTTGCCTAGAGGAGATAGAAGTTTCTTGAGTGCCTTTCACCTAGTAACCAAAGATAGACAATTTTTCTTGGAAACTTTACAAATTAACATAGCGTTTCTTCAGAGTAACTAGA